ATATATGAAACTGTTCATTGCACTCGTGGTTCATTTTTATTCTTCATTTAAATACACCCATGCTAAGCAAAGCCAGTTTGGCCACCATTTTTAGCAGTATGTACTGTAGGCCTCAATTTCCTTACACCTCTATTTACTTGTGCTTGTGCTAGAGATAAAAAACTTATCGTTAATTTCCTTTGATTCCTATTAGCAACGAAACCTAATGTCGCCCGAATCTCCTGTCGAAAAGGCTTGTAGTAAATATAGGCATAGGAATTGTTCAACTATACGCATTGTTGCTCTTGAATCGTACATTAGAAAACAGTTAACGGCACTGCCTTGAAAATAATTGCATCCGTTTGTATGTAAATGTAGCGACAAATTCAGCAGCAAAAATTATTCTCTGTAGCATAAGTATATGAAGATTGACAGGCTTTTAAATATTTTGTTAATACCTAAATTAGAGTAATAACATCAGTAGAGACAATAGTTTAGATAATAATCTAAACACATATATATAAATAAAATTGAAGTCAGTCTGTTATATCGAAATAACTGCCTTTTATCAAGCCCAGGGCCTATTTGCATGCCACTAAGACAAGAATAATTTTCGTATCTGTCTGTCTGTCTGTTTGTCTTAATCTTTGAAATGGCTGAACCGATCGTGATGAAATTTACGGACAAATAAAGAGCAATGCTATTTTGAGTGAATACTTTATGCGATTTTTGGAGATAATTTTTTTTCTTTTCAGTGTAACTTTTTTTAAAACGTTTAATTTTGTGAAAGTGATTATTAATATTACTTTACAAATGTAAATAACGCCACATTAATAGATCCCATCCAGACAAAGACGGGGTGGGTCTCTAGTATTCATATTAAAGTCTGAGCTCTTAAAGTTTAAATATTTTGAGCCTCTTAACATTTAGAGAGATCGACGGCTTGTAGCCCGTGTCAAGGAACTGGTTATTTCATTGTACTGATTTCAGTATTATCTTTATATATATCAAGGATCGTCAAATTTTCCAATTAGGGCCAAAAAAAGTAAAAAGTCTCACGTAAGTAGAATTACAACAAAAATTAATACGTATTGAACACTTTTAATTTTAATTATACGTAGATGTTAATATTAGAAACTTATTTTACTTATAAAAAAGTAATTTAACTTTAATTACACTAATTAACTTTACACTACGCAGCTGCTCCAGCACTTTTATCAACGTATCTTTTTAAGAACAATTAGTATTGCTGAAGCTGTGCTAAATATACTATTTGCAAGCAGGGATGGCCCTAGCAAAATTATAAGGTGGTACGAGATCTCGTTGTAGTGCCCCAAATGTGCAATCGCTTATTCGTTATTAAGCCGTCCATAGAAACTGAAGATGCTACACATTTTTGACATCCTACTAATATTACAAACGTGAAAGTGTGTTTGCTAGGATGATTGTTACCGTTTCTCGACCAAACGTCGGAATAGCATAGGTCAAAATTTAACAAAGAGGTAGATTGAGGTCATATTCACACAATATAATGGTTTTGTCGAGACGTTGGTTTATAGCTATGGTAGGATTGCATAGATGGCGTTGTAGTTTCTATAATTACATATTTATGGATAAAATTAGTAATCTAAAAAAACTAAACTCTATATTTTTATTGCACAAAATTATTATCACAGGAGTTAGTGCTCTGGTGATGGCGCTGTGGTCGAGTGTGGTGTGGTCGAATATTATGATTACACAAAAAACCCTAATGAATTTGGAGTAAAATGTATCGCACCACATATCGAAAAAGGCAAAACAACATCTGTTATGTTTACATTAAGTAAAAATGTATACTTGCATGCGTATTATTTTGTTGCTTCTTCTTGATGACCATATGTCTTAATTACTGAGACTGCAGTTTTGGATTTTAAGTTTTGTGAAATTTATCGATAAAGAAAAGTAATTAAAAAACTATCAGCTTCACTATGTGAAAATTCATTTGCTGAGATTCGCCTGAAAAATAAAACTGTATGTCTATTTATTGTATTACCAATTTGCCACGATCTCTCCTACAATTGCGTGCACTATCAATGTGCTAACTAACACCACTACCTCTAACACCGCCACCTCCAACACCACAACACTATGAAACACACCACCGGCGATAACACGACAGGTGTTTCGCCTTTAAACGAAGCATTATCAGAAGAAATATCTTGCGATGTCTAATCGCTAATCTTTTATTAATAAATTTTTTTATAAAGTACGAATTTGACTTTATTGAACTTATAACTGATGAAATAAATGACACAAGGAATTCTTTACTTTTGTGTACTTTTCTGTAATAAATATTATGAATATATATGACATGTTGCGCGGATTAGTTTTACGTTTTCCGAATTTCTCATTTAAAAAAATACAGATGTCACAGTGCGTCACATTTGAAAAAATATTCCAGAAAGGAATATTTTTCACCTCACATGGCAGATAAATTACAGACAACGCTAATGCACTAACATCGTAACATCTGCCTGTCTCACGTAATTTGCTTACATGTACTGTAAAAAATGAATACGTCTCGCAACGTCGAAGCTATGGTGTTTATAATTATAAATGTAAGGTTTTAAGTTTTAAGAATGCTCGTTTCAGGTTAAAATCTCAGCAAAAGTCATTGATGAAGTACCTAGTTAAAATTTATTGGTAGAATAAAGAAGAAAATACCTTAGGTTAGCCCATAAATGCCCACAGTTGGACCCGTTGCGTTGTTAAGAAAATTTGCCTTAATCATAACGTTTGGCAAGCGAATTGCCAAACGTTATGATTAAGGCAAATTAAGGCGCTCATTTCGAGCAGCAGCGTCTAACGCGGCCTCTCGTCACCGAGCATCTTTAGGAAGCTATAACATATATATATATCATATAACATTTTTCTGACATTTTTCATGGTCGCCTCCTACGATCTCTGCGAGACTAAATTGGGTGATGTAACACCGCCATCAAACGGTTATTGGTTGATGTGAAATGTTGAATATATGAAGAATAAGGGATCGTATCGTAAAAAAGGAAAAACGTACACTACGATTTGAACTATTAGCTACTTTAAACTTTAAGATTACATTAATATTGTAACAAAAAATAAATGTCAAGAATTAAAATAATTTTGAAGTTACATGGAGCTGCGTGGCAGTCTATCCCTGTTTCATTAGCCTCTTAATTATGAGAGCTCGGTGCCAGCTGTGGATGTTAATAGAAGGATATGGATGTGTATAGGTTTACTATAAATAAACCATAATTTCTATTTTCTCCTGACACCAACCATTCTACAGTGTACTGTGAAGTGGATGCAAACATTTAAACAAGATATTACAGAACCTTAGCCCTAGAATACTTTGATAAAATGTCTCTTAAAATAACATTCATCACGTAGAGATAGAGCTGGACACGTGCGGTCTGATATACGGAGTCACAAGAGTTGAGATTTACGTGATTATGAGAAAGCGCGTGTTTACATTGTTTAAGGTTAAAGTCGTTATTTAGCAATGAATAATATAGTAATACACACGCAAACACACACACACACACACACACGCACACGCACACGCACACGCACACGCACACGCACACGCACACGCACACGCACACGCACACGCACACGCACACGCACACGCACACGCACACGCACACGCTCACGCACACGCACACGCACACAAATACACACCTCAAAACGCATGATTACCTTTATTTTTGTCTGACTTTATTTTTTTATTTCTAACCTATAAAGGGCAGTTTAAAAATATCCACTCCCCTTTTTAATCGCGTGTAAGTCGTAAGAAGCAACAGAGGGAAACTGAAATAGGAGCTCAAAATTATAAGAAGCTGCGGATGCCAATCCACCAAGCTTGTCGACTATACCAAAATCCTCCTAAAAGGCAATCTATGGGAGAGGCTTAAGCTCGGCAGTGGACTTTTATAGGCTGTAATGGATGGATAATGGATCTTTATTTTTAAACACAAGTTTAAATTATGATCTTGAAGAATCAGACTCCCCTAACACAGGTTGTCTGCGTGTGTCTTTTCAAATTCAAAGGTTAATGGCATAGGCTCAATTCAAGTAATAAATCAATTTGTGTAAGAGAATTTGTTTTTTTTTGTTATAGATTTATTCAGAAAAAATCTTATTTTAATTTTAAGTGCTGATTTACCGTGTGCTCGACAAACACAAAGTTGCATGTATAAGAAAAAAAATATATTGAGTACTTGTGTAGTCCGATTGCATAAGTTATTATGCAGGTTCTTATTCTTATGTTCTTATTCATTTATTTATGAGCCCTATGTTTAGCAGTGAACTTGTGAAGGGATGTAATGATGATGGTGATGATGATGAGGTTTTACGACACCCAGAGGCAAAACGGGGTAATGGATTCTTAGTTAGAGTACCTGGCTACATTTGTGCGATTTGAACAAAAACACAAATTGTTGGTATCGGATTTAGCTGCATTATGATGATTGGATATTACATACGCTGTATATCGAGTATGGGTAGGTTAAAAAAAGTCAGTACCCTTATGTTTGCATTCATTTTTTATATGTATTATGGGAATATAAAAATACATTTTGTTATATTTGCATATTATGAAATTGAGATACCCTTTCCGAAGGAATAGATCACATCGCTTTTTATATAATTCTGTCAACAATGCGGTAAAAAATTTAAGTCGCTTTTATATATAATTCATACAACAATACGGTCAAACACTTAACAGCTATGATGACGTGGCATACGAGAAGAAAGAGATGCACGGGACAAACGCTGGAGTAGACTTGACAAAAATTATTATTACGTGTCAAAAATATAAAGGTTTTATTTTATTGACTACATTCTAAACCAGCGCTTTCAGCACATAAACGTTACATTTATACTAGACACTGGTAGATAGAGAGAGGTGAATGCGTTTGTTGTTCTATACAGGTGACATTTGATGGATACTATTAACGTAATGTAGTTACATGATAATAAACTATTCATATTTCATTTTACAGAGCGGCAGTGGCAAAAAGGCGTTACCACACATGTCCCCTCAAAATGATTCCGGTAAGTTTGAGTGTTTATATTCGTATTCTCATAATCTATTTGACCTTTTAAAAATCGTTAAGTAGTTAAACAATGAGGTTCCTTGCTTATTGCCAGTCACCCTTTGAAATAATTACGCAAACATCTGCCAACTGGCAGCTGCTAAAGACTTATTTCTAGGGCAATAACGAAAGCGGGAGCGTTTATTGAATGCCTAGGCTTGACTGTTTTTTGCATTTATTTGGATCTAGACTGCTTTAAAAACTACGAAGCCATTATGTGTAGAAGATTGGAGTTGTGAGAGTCATTCGCCTACTGACAATAAGTTGGTATGGTAATGATTAGAACTACAGACTAATGTGATGTTAGAACTAACATAATGATGTCTTATGTTTTTTTTTTATAGAATACACTAAGACTACACATTTAAATGTAACTTTTAGGTGTTGACTATCAGAGATCCTTCGTGCTCTCTGAAACAAAGATTTTACCACAGTAGCTAACTGTGAATGATGGTCGTGAGAATCACTGTTTAAATATATGTGAATATGGGTGTTTTATCTTTTTTCTATACAAAAAATTAAATTCAAACCCAAGCATATAACTGCAAAATTTCAAGATACTATAAGCTCAGACCAAAAAAAAATTTAACTGAAGGTAGCCGTCGTTAAATATGACATTGGGACGTCGAACAACACAGTCCCCCCACGTCTGGAATTTAAAATAAGTTAATATACGCGATAAAATCCGTAAAACCTAGTGTCATTTATACAGAACTAACGTTTCCAGTTTATTTTATTTTTGAATGAAGTTGCGATAAAATAGTGACCTTTACTTATTTAGTTGTGTAAATCTTCATCATCTTCATCAGCGAGATAAAGTCCACAATTGGACATGAACCTTTCCCATTGTGGAGAAAAAAGAGATATCTTCGGTATAGTGTCGGGATAAGACTCGCTCTTGGATCGTTACTCACACTTGCGTGTGGCTCCAACGATGACGTGTACAGCTGCTCTCAACCTCTCAATCTCACTTAGAATCTCAGGTGCCCCGGAACCGATGCTGCCAAACTCGGTCTTCAGCTTTGACAGTTGGCTCTTTCTGGTTTCTGGCAGACAGATCTCTGGCAAAGACTTTGGAGCCTTGGTTCCGCTCGATCGCTTCTTCAATACAAGCTGAATTGAAGTTGTGTAAGTCCCGCCGCATGCATTTGGAGATCTGTCTGTTCAGTTGCCTGTATGCTGTCAAATCTGTTGAAAAATGTAGCTTCATCTCCCGTCTAACAGCCATGAGATTGAGAGTGTGATCGGAGAGTTTTTGAGTTCTTCTGCGGCGAGTCTTGCAGAACTTAGCCCCGACCGCATGGACAGTTTCCACGAGCTGGTCATTCATATCGTCCACTTCATTGCAGTCTTTTAGGCACTGAAAACGGTTTTTTAACTCGAGCTGAAAGGTTTCGGGACTTTGGAACAGAGCACGAGGGGGACGGAGCGTTGACTTCATTAGACGAGACCTCTCCAACTTAACGCTTAGGTTCAGTGTGCCTCTAACCATTCGGTGATCGCTACCAGTTTTCACCTGGATGCGATCACGGAGACGTCACTGAACAGTTGTCGTCTGGTCGTCATAATGAAGTCAATCTCATTTTTTGTCGAACCGTCGGGGCTCGACCAGGTCCACTTCCTGTGGGGCCGCTTCTGGAAGAAAGAGTTCATCATAAAGAGTCCCTCTTTCTCCATGAAGTCGGCCAGCTGCTGGGCCCTTGGGTTCATTTGGTACATTTGCATATAAGTGTATCGAAAATCTTTATATACAAAAATTACGTGTCATATTGTTTGTTCGCGATGAACTCTGAAACCACGCAACAAATTTTAATGAAATTTTGTAAATGTGTATTGCTTGCTCCAACTTGAGAGATAGGATAGTTTATATCCCGTTAAGTGACCCTCAATATTTTTAATGCGAATTTAAAGATTTTTTTAAAGGGCGAAGAGTCTTCAGAAAGGGTAGAATATGTATACGTGGTAGAGCCATGCTGCATCTATATTATGGTTGTAGCACGAATGGGTCGGCTCGACCGGGGAAGGACCACGCTCTCACAAAATACCAGCGTAAAATAGCAGCTTAACGCTGCTGTGTTTCGTATGGTGTGTGTAGAGAACCGGAGACCCTTTTTACTGGAAACGAGGCATTCCATCTTAGTCCTCACGGGTGACAACGCATCTGCATTTTGACTCTTAATCGAAGATACTCGTAGATGTAGATGTCTGTAGTATCTACCTAGTATCTATACGTATGTCTGGGTATAATCTAATATATAAAGTTAACAATACGTAATTACAGACAGTCTTACGTCAACACTCAAGTGTTTCATTTCCCTCGTCCTTACATGGCGACCCTGCCAGGCGGTGCGCTGCTACAATGCACGCGCACCGCCGGGCCTACTATTTAAAAAGAAGAAAAAATATTATAAGAAAACTTAATTAAATAATGGACAGTTTTTAAGAGGATTGACAATTTAAAAAAAAATATATTATAACGGAATGGACGCAATACCGAATGTGACGAAAAATAAACAAATATGAATACAAGAAGAGGCCACAATAATTATTTTATAGAAGCCGACTGAAAATTTTAAATATATAATATATAGTACAATGAAGACGAGTAACGAGGAAGTAATGTTTGGACAGGCAGTAATTTAAACTCAGTGATGCAGTTTAATAATTCTCTTAATTTCTTCTTTGTTCTTTTTTGACTCAATTTTCACATTCTTCTGGTTCTGGACGTAGCTCGTCAAGATTACTATAACCGCTTCTTTTCTTTTTAAATTAATCTGCCGTGTCTTGAATAATTTTGGTATTTGGTCATGATATAAAAAATCCACTATTTGTTTTCCTCCTTCCTCGTTACTCGTCTTCATTGTACTATATATTATATATTTAAAATTTTCAGTCGGCTTCTATAAAATAATTATTGTGGCCTCCAATTGTAATCATATTAACCTAAATATTATTTTAACTATTTCTTTATACCCATGTTTACATTTTATAAATTAGAATACTTAGGGATATAATTATTGTGTAATTTTAGATGTTAGTATATATAAAAAAGAAAAAAAAAAGAAATGCACGTATTCATTTCTTTTTTTCTTTGGGAAGGAAGGTGTAGTACCTACCTAGTATCTATACGTATGTCTGGGTATAATCTAATATATAAAGTTAACAATACGTAATTACAGACAGTCTTACGTCAACACTCAAGTGTTTCATTTCCCTCGTCCTTACATGTCTATGGGCCACAGCAACCACTTACCATCAGGTGGACTGTGTGCTCGTTTGTCACCCTTATCCTAAAAAAAAAATGGTCTGCCTGGTCAGCTAGTAGCTTATAAATATATGCGCTATTTGGGACTCTCACGGATGCTTGACTAATATAGATGATAGCGATTACGTAAAGATTTACTTTATTTCTTAGCCATCGGAACACGTGTATTTATTTGGGAAATCGTTAGTTACTCGTATTAGACACACGCCAGAAGAAGTAAGATGTTCTTTACTCAATTGTTTGACACTGGCAAGTTATTCATCACCGTAAGGGCTGGATATATGCTGATAAATTTAAAAATGAAGCACTTTTTATTTCAAATTTGGAGAATCCCCTTTTCTTAAGAACCTAGCCGGAATTTGCTTGCAGCAGTGGAGCTCAGTCTAGTTTATATCTATACGATTTGCTAAGACTAAATTACTACCAAATAGGCTTAAATTCTTCAGGATTCTTTAGTAGTTTCTTGTATATTGTCAAGGCGTTTTACATTTAATTAAAACCTATATACGTACCACTGCTGGGCACAGGTCTACTCTCATTTCTAAGAGGGTTGCAGGGCAAGGAAATGTCCGCCGCTATGCCCCAATGCGTGTTGGCGAACTACACATTTAATTGTGGACAAACATCAAGATCTGCAACAATTATTTTTAGGTCATTCAACACCTGTTCTGTACGGAATTTGAGCCTGCTGTCCCGCAGCACCGCAATATCTTTTTACTCTTAATTTTTAGTGTGAAGAGATTACATATTTAGTGTGAAGAGCGTTTGTGATTTTATATGATAAGTACGTGTAGTGATGCGCCTTGCGAGAATGAACCACTCTACCTCATCCCGTGGGTACCGTAAGGGGGAAATGCTCGAAATACCATGTGACCTCCGATAGATGGCGGTATAATAATATAGTACAAGTATAATAAAAATTAAAAATTTTGTACAGCCGACTTCAATATAAGTTATTAAGAATAACTCAAAAATTATTGGTCAGACCTTGATCAAATTCATATGGGACCACACGAGAAGTACCAGCTTTCAAATAAAAAAAGAACCATCGAAATCGGTTAACCCAGTAAAAAGTTATGAGGTAACACACATAAAAAAAAAACATAGTCGAATTGAGTACCGTCTCCTTTTTTGGAAGTCGGCAGAAAATACCTGGACTGGTAACAGGAAACAACGTTAAAGGTGCTGCTGAGGTCGCCAATCTACCTGCCAAGTGAAGCGCGTACGCTAAATGCTCTTTACTATGGACTCATGTTCAGCAATAGATTCTTTACGATGATGAGGAGAAGAGGGAGTTTATGACGATATATAAGTTTACATTTTTGTCTCGACTCCCATTGATCTCCTCCTTTTTTTAAGTTTATTGTAATTCACAACTGGAAAATATTATGTTGAGAATGCACTAATTGGCATGCAAGACTTCAAATACTTGCTGGATATAAAGTTCAATAGATTTGAATGGAATGGAGTTTCGTTTCGGTTAGTTCGCAAGTTTATAGAATAAGGAGAAGTATTCAGTACAATATCTCCTGCGCTAGATTTATTCACATCTTTCTTTTATTGAATGAATAATATTTTAAAAACAGCTCTAACTCCATATTGCATCTCATAAAAGTTATAAAAAAACATACTTTTTCCAACCACGTACTGATTGTGGCTCGTATATAGGAAAGGATGTCTCAAAACTCAACGAA